GGGTGGGGGAGATGAAAAGAAAAGATAGGGAACCTCCAGTAAATGTAATCCCCCAAAGGTAGAGAAACTCAGATATGAAAGAAATGAGAAAGCTTATCAAGCAATAAGTGGAAAGGAGATAAAATCTTTTAAAAGGCGTTGGTCCTACATACGTATTTTAATAAAGGTCTTGTAAACTTCCAAGGAAATAATAAAGCTCATAACAGGATATTTGTCTACATATCACCATGTGACTTCGCCAGTGGATTTCACAAACACCCAGAAAAGATTAGTATATCTGTTATTGACTCTCTTAATTAACTTTCCCCCACTTCTTGTCTTTGAAAATTCTAGCCAATGTGTTTAGACACTAAAGAGAAAAGAGATGTAAACTGCTGTGAAAGAGGAAGGGGGTAAACATATAATTATTTTAAATGACCTATGGATATCTACTTGGAAATTATAAGAAAATTCTCTAATAAAAACTATGATAACTAGCAATTCTTCTGTAAGGAATTCCAATATAAAATAAACTTTCAAAGCTAATAGCATTTTTATATGCCTGAAATAATCATATATTATGTAATTAGAGAAATGGCATTCAAAATTGCAACAAAATAGCAAAATATTAAGAAATAAAAAGAACAGGAAATTTGAAAGACCTGCCTACATTAAAAAAAAAATTTGCAACATTTAAGCAAGGACATTAAAAAAGACAAGTCTTTGTGATTCCTTAGCATGTTTCCAAATGGGACACTCGGTATCAGAAGTAGGTTATTTCTCTCAGATAAATGTACATGTTTAATATCTCACCAATTAAATGCCACGGAATGTCCTGAAACTTGACAAAGCTTTTCTAAAGTCATGTCAAAAAATGCTGGCAAGAGTCAGCAAAGAAATAATCGAATAGAAGAAATTTACTATATATTAAAGTATATTATAAAGTTATAATAAATACATATTAATATTTGCATACAAATAGGTTAAAGTAACATAAAACAATAAGCAGATGCTGGAATATATAGGAATTTAGTAAAACAGATTTGGGGCATTTAAAAATGTGTAGGGAAAGAGAAATATAGTATATATGTGAAGTTAATATAACTTGTTAAATTTGAAGACTATGTAGTTTATTCTTTATCTTATAACAGACACAAAAATACATTTTTGATGAATTAAAGAAATATCTATATATATAAAAGGCTAAGTAACTGACCATCCGTCCGACCAACTGACCGGCTGGTACATAAGACCCGCACTGGCAATCTATAATAATAGAAGTGTAATATGCTAATGAGACCGGACAGCTGGACGTCCTTCCGGACAAAGCCAGGGCTGCAAGGGCCGAGGCAAGCCTCCGTGGCTGCAAGGGCCAAGCCCCTTGCATGAATTTCGGGCATCGGGCCTCTAGTTTAAAAATAAACGTTGACTTGCGCATGCGTGATATTTGTCCCTGTCTGATACTGGCCTCCCATTTAAATCAATTCGAAGACAGTTTTCCATGATGCTAGCATTTGTGATGACTATTAATAAGTCACAGGAGAAACTCTAGACAGAGTAGAAATATTCCTACCTGAACCTGTTTTCAGACATGGTCAGTTATATGTTGCTTTCTCTTGAATTCAAAGAGCATGTGATGTTAAAGTTAAAGTTGTAAATACTTCATCACAAGGGAAATTAGTCAAGCACTCTGAAAGTGTTTTTACTCTTAATGTGGTATACAGGGAGATATTAGAATAAGTTTAATCAATTTATCAGTCATTGTTTTTATATCATGTTTTTGTTGTTTTCATATCATGTTTTTGTTGTTTTTATATCATGTTTTGTTGTTTTTATATCATGTCTTTGTTGTTGTTATATCATGTTGTTATTGTTTATTTATTAATCAATTTATATATCATTTTCATATAGATTTTATGAATTTTCTTTAATCTCTGACACTTCTATTATAGAGAAAGGGCGAGTAGCAATATTAAAATATTTCTTCTAATTAATTTCTTTTCAATGTGCATGAATCTGTGCACCAGGCCACTAGTTTATAAATAAAACCACAGAAGTGACATTAAAAAATAAAGACTTTTTTTTTAATCTAATGCCAAAATGATGTACTTTCAAAAATAAAATCAGTGGAAGAAATCACAAAAGATCAAAAATTAGACTAGCATAAAAAATATAGATGGCGCTATAGATGAAAAACAGTGAAGACACAAGCTCCAGTGTCCCTTGTGACCTCTGCCCAGTAAAGCAGATCAGCACTGACCACAGGAGTGTGTTTTTGGTGATGAGAAGGTAGTCAAGGCTCAAAAACAGGGCGTATTTGTTAAGCAGATCACTTAGGGTAGAATTTTTATGGAGTGTTTGTGACTGCGGTTTCAGGCTCCACCCTTACTGTGAACTGCACCATCATAGACTCGAGGGACAACACCAACCTGCGCAGCTGGAGGGTCGGCAGCACTTGGGTGGACGTGTACTACCAAGAGTCCAAGCGGGTCCAAGAAGGAAACGAGTAGGTGTTTTGTTGTCCTGGCTTCTCTGCGAGCCAGCGACACTTTCTCCAGTTCAGTGATTGGGTTAGTACTGCTGCCTGAGAAGGTTCCTGCCTTCTCGTCGCTCCTTTTGCTTTGTCTCTCGAAGATCTCAGTGCTATGTGTGGGCGAGCAACTGTTCAAAGATTGTCACTCTCCTGCGTCCTCGTTCCAGATGAGGTGGACGGGAGGCGTGGCCTGCTGGAATGAGATCCATTTCTGTCAGCTGCTACTGAAAACCAGTCTCATTTCCAGGCACGTGATGGACCAGAGGCCTTCAGCCTTAAGCAGGAAACACGTGGCAATACAGGGACCCTTGGGGAGCAGTGCATGGTCATTAGCTGACTGAGGGCATGAGCCCCATTTACGATGGTATGAATCTCATGATGTGGAACAAGACTCATGAGGTCAGAGGGCAGGGACGTGTGTTGGGCCTTGCAGTGTAGATAAGTTAGGGTAAGTGGAGAGGGAGAGGGGAAGTCCTTTAGGGTGGAAGATGGGAGTCTACAGTGAACAGAACCACACTTCCTTGTCACAATGTCCCCAAGAGAATGCAAGTTTAGAACTACACCATGCACACACCTCACTGAACTACTCGGGGAGTATTTGTAGGTGCACGGCGGCTGGAGTGTCTCTAGGAAAGAACCTGGTTCTCCAGACGAGGGGTCATGAAACACGTCAGGGAAGATATGACTCAGGTACTAATGATCGACTCCTCTTTCACAGAACCCACGTTGCTTTTAAGGAACATGCTGTTTACACAGTTGGCATAACCTTTTTAGAAGTGAAAATGGAAGATTACGGCCGTCCCTTCACATGCCATGCTGGTGTGTCTGCAGCATACTTCATGCTAAAGCCCCCAGGTAATGTTCCCGTGGGCCAAGTACTGCTCAGAGGGCTCAAATGGTGGCAAGGACACACACGGAAGACAATGGGCATGAAATGCAGGCATGTGGCAGCAGGGTGGTGGGACACAGACAAACCCAGCATGAGGTACAGGGTGAGTCTGAGAAGGCTTTCCAGGCGCTGCAACTCCAGCATGGGGTGTGTGGGGAGTGCCATGTTAACAGACGTGGGGAGTGTGAGGGGTGCCATGTTAACATATGTGGAATGCATGTGAAGTAACATGTTATCAGACGTGGAATGTGTGGGGAGTGCCATGTTATCAGACATGGAATGCGTGGGGAGTGTCATGTTAACAGACGTGGAATGCATGGGAGTGCCATTGTTAACATATGTGGAATGTGTGGGGAGTGCCATGTTAACAGTGACATGTTCTCCACCAAAGTTCTGGAAAACAGGTGTTCCTGTACCAAACCTGATTGCTCAATGTTTATAGTCATGTGCTTGTGATTTTCAGCCTTTAGGTGGTTTGTTATAAATAATTTGATATGAAAATAAAATGTTTATGTATCTTTTTATCGGGTAACTTTGTAAAATTATCTGCAGACACTGAGCAGAGGCCTTCAGACTTATGTACACACATTGCTCTCCTGACGCCGTGCAGAGCTTACCGTTGCCCACGGGAGGGGACACAGCCGGGGAGACCGCGATGCTGTAATCATAACCTGGAACACAGCTTAAACCGCCAGCGGGCGAGGGGAGGTGCTTGAAGACCCGTGTAAAATGCTGCCGTGCACTTTAGCAAGACCGTTTTTTCTTGATTCTATTAATACCAACTTGTTTCCTTGGCTAGCTACATGCAAGAGGGAGAGGGCTTGACTTGACAGTGTCCCTTGGCGATCAGTTTAACCATGCTTGCATGTGTCTAGCTAAAGTCCTACTCGAGAGGTTTCTCTAGAATTTTAACATCAACATTAGCTCAGTGGGTGCTGTATGGAGCTATAGAATGCGCCTTGGCCCCTGGCCTCCCGAGTGTCCGTCGCCTCCCTTCCAATAACAAGGAGTAGGGATGCGTCCACAGCAGCTGCAGTCCTGACACACAAGCACGTGCATGGCCCGGAGGCCATAGTCACTCTGCTCCGAGCTGCTTCAGCCGTGCGTGAGCACGCAGCACCTTCTCTCCTCACCTGGGCCCATGGGGACTCTGGGTTGCAACAGGTGAAAGAAGCCTTGGGCTTATCAGCCACCATTATCCATTTTTACTCTTCTCAAGGACTTTCTCTTGTCATAGAAAGTAAATTTTTAAGTTATTTTTTATTGATTTCAGAGAGGAAGGGAGAGGGAGAGAGAGATAGAAACATCAGTGATGAGAGAGAATCATTGATCAGCTGCCTCCTGCAAACCCCACACTGGGGATTGAGCCGCAACCCAGGCATGTGCCCTGACCAGGGAATCAAACCATGATCTCCTGGTTCATAGGTCGATGCTCGACCACTGAGTCATGCTGGCTGGGCAGAAAGTAATTTTTGGTTTCCCCCAATCAATCTTGTGCATCTGTCTCTCTTGGTGGCTCATCTGAGTGATTCTTGAGGCTCTATCACCAGTGCGGTCCTTTCTTATCCTCATCCCTGATAACCTTCCCACTCTCAGGGCTTCAGTGTCATCTCTGTGCAGGTGCAGCCCACATGTCCAGACGCATCCTCCCTCCCACCTCCCAGGTGGCGGCCTGCATTGCCAGCTGCTTGCTGGACTGATTCTGAACTTTGTGGAAGAGAAGGATGTCATATGTTTTTTTCAGTGTTGCTGCTTAGGCCTATGGGCTCATTGCTGCATCGGTGCTGTAGCATGCAGCCGTAGTTCATTCTTATTGCTGAATCCTATTTAACTGAATAACTAAATCACAGTTTATCTATTCTACTATAAATATGTCACCATTGAGTTGTTCCCACGTTGGAGCTATTCATAGATCATCTGCTTGGACATTTCAGGCTGTGAGTTGTTAGGTGGAGAGGCAGTCCTCCATGGTATATCCTCTAGTAGGATTACCACAGAGGACTCAGGGGCCACCCAGAGAGAAGAGGGGAGGAGACTGCACAAGACTTGAAGGAATTATCATTGAAATCGGCCTCAACCTAGAAGTGTGAGTTCTTTGTTTAGTGACCTTGACTAAAAATGACCAACATAGATTTTCTTTTTTGTCTTTTTCTTTTGTTTTTTAATGTTGACACTATTACAGATGTCCCTCAGTTCCCCCTCCCTTTGCCCGCAGCTAACCGCTCCCCCCTCCCCCCGCTCCGACATACACCACACTGTTGTCTGTGTTGATGGGGGCTGTGCGTATATGCTCTTTGGCCACTCTCTTCACCTTCTTTCATTCAGTCACCCACACCTCCAGCCCCCTCTAAGATCTGTCAGTCTGTTCCATGTGTCCATGCCTCTGGTTTTGTTTGGTTTATTTTGTTCATTAGATTCCACATATTAGTGAGATCATATGGTGTTTATCTTTCTCTGACTGGCTTATTTAACTTAGCATGATACTCTCCAGGTCCCATGCTGTCTCACAGGGTAAGAGCTCCTTTTTACTGCTGCATAGTATTTCATGGTGTAAATGTACCACAGCTTTTTTATCCACTCGTCTACTGATGGGCACTTGGGCTGTTTCCAGATCTTGGTTATCTATACTAATAAAAGGGTAATATGCTAATTAGACCGGATAGACTGGACGTCTTCCGGACATCCTTCTGGACAAAGCCA